GGGTGCTGTAGTCTCCATTCTGACAGGTTGGAAAATGCATTGATACTACTGAATGTATTTACTGTAGGATCCAATTATGCTCTGCAGAGTTGTGCATATTGTATGGGAGAAGTTCTGAACAGATGGGATGGAGTGAGCCAGAGGGGTGTGTGGGGCTTACAGGGCCGTCTGGAGAGGCGAGCTTCCCGGAGGCTGGTCTCCCACACCCCACGCCCCCCCTCCAGCCGGGCGACGCCGCCGAGCTCTTTGCCACCAGTGACTCGTGGTACTGCTGGAAGAAAGAGGCGGGCATGGAGTTTGGCCACCTCCATTGCCAGATCCTCGCTGCCCCCACAGCCCCCACTGGTTCACTTTTACCCACACCACCTCCACCCCGCCCCTGCCTGGGACAACCACCACCGCTTGTGGCTCTGCCAACCTCTCGCCCTCCCCTCATCCTGGGTTCTCATGGTCTCTCGTCTTGTGTCTGAAGGGGAGGGGTCCCTGGCCACATGCAGCCTATCGCCCTTTTGCCCCCCGCCCACTCGTCCCCTCCTGAGAAAGGAAGGAAGGAAGGAGGGAGGAGAAGGAGATCGAGAGAGGGATAGAGATAGGAAAGGAGACAGGAAATGAAGGAAAGAAGGAAGGTGATAGGAATAAGAAGGAAAGAGGGAAGGAAAGGAAGGAACAAGATGAGAAGGAGAAGACAGAGGAAGGAAGGAAGGAAGGAAGGAAGGAAGGAAGGAAGGAAGGAAGGAAGGAAGGAAGGAAGGCTGCATATGGGAGAAGTTCTGGCACATGGGACGGAGCAAGCTGGAGGGGGGGCTTACAGGGCCATCCGGAGAGGCGAGCTTCCTGGAGGCTGGTGTCCCGCACCCCATGCCCTCCCCTCCAGCTGGGCGACGCCACCGAGCTCTTTGCCACCAGTGACTCTCGGAGCTGCTGGAAGAAAGAGGCGGGCATGGAGTTTGTCTGCCCCCCGACTCCACCTTGCCCGGTCACACACCCCTTGCCCTGCAGAGGGCTTGCCCAGTGAAGAAGATGCCTGGAGTGTCGGTGCCAGCAGGCAGGCAGGCAGGCGGGGCGCAGAGGGAGGGAAGCGCTGCTGCAGGTAGCTCGAGGAGGCGCACCTTGTCACAAGCGGCTCTCCAGCCACCTGGAAGGAAACAGTGAATCGAAGCGTGGGCTGTTGCACCCCGCGAGCAAAGGGGTCGCTGGGGCCCCCACAAGACTGCTTCGTTTCTGGCGGGTAGTTCTAAGCGAGGCGGCAAGAAAACCATGTGCAATTCAGTAAGGCTTACTCCTTAATATATTAGTTCAGGACTTACAGCTTAATGACGTCGGTTTTTCCATATTATATCTTTTCAATTTACTACTGCATAGCAACGTTGTGGGTTATAGTGCAGAATCCCGATGCTATCGCGAGTAGTATAAGTCTTCCCTTGAATATCTAGGCTTTCTGCTTTCCGAAAGCATTGAACGGAGAGATTAAATATTTGTCTCAACGGATTGGGATGAGTGATATTCTTGTTCCTACAGAGACGGCTATTCTTTAGGCAAAGCTACAGTGCTTTTTGTCCTCCTTCGGAAGCCGTCTCTCATGACGTTTGCGAGCCAATCAAGAGTGTGGCTTTGAAAACCTGTGGCATGATCGTGCTGCGCGGGAGCAAGTGTCTCTCCCCGAATATGGAGGACATAGTAGGCAACTTGTATGTATCCTAGAAAATCAGTAAGACCCGCTGGCGGCCCCTATCTACCACGGCCTTGCAGCCTCTTTACATTGGTAAAAATAATTTTTTTTAAAAAAATGGGGACTTTTTAAGAATGTGGCGGGATGCGGCACAAATTGTAGAAAAGCGTGCCTGTCACGCTGAAAGCGGGATGTCTGGTCACCTTATATACAAATGAACAACAGCCACTTATGATGATAGCTAACTCTGAAATAGAATACTTTGGTAAATGTTGACAAATCCACAAATCCCCATGATCTTGGGACCAGATAAAATTAAATTGGTGCCTTTTTTTGCTTGATAGGAATAATTTGGTTTTGTTCGATTTAAGGAATGCTAAGATCTTGTCCAGCTTAGTTTGGAGTTTAAAATCTTCTATGATTCTTTCTTCCCACACAATCCTTCCTAATCCTCTAATGCCAGCATGTACCATTCATCTCTTTCTCTTCTATCCCCTGGAGGTTTCTTCTACATTATTCTTCACTCCAGCTGGAATCAGTATGAAATACTGAATGTGCCAAATATACTATATCGGGCCATTTATTTTAAATGTCATTGAAACTGCTTAATTTTCACATTTTTGTTTTAAAAATCAAGCTTGTGCTAAATATGTCAACCACACTTTTCCCCCCATGGACCACACGTATGCACCAGTGACTCTGCCTATTAAACCAATAGATATATATTTCTCAATGCAAGTAGGGCAGATCCACAAGTGGAATTATTCTTGGATGAAACTGATCAGTTCAGCTTAGTATGATCCATAGAGCCTCGCTCATGAAGCAGCAACTTTAAGCTGCAGCTCTGTTTCAAAAATAGACCCAACATGACTTCCGTGAGACACCCGGTGTTGCTAGGCATAATTATAGAACAGGGATTTATTTTGTTTTATCATTCTCTGCACTGACACTAGGTTGGAGATGTAAAGCAATTTGCACAGTTATCCCATTAGCTTATAATACAAACATGGAAAAGCTTGATCTCTTTCTCTTTTCCACTTCCCTCATCAAAAGTATATAAAGAGAATGAAATTACTTTGGCTCTACTTACTTTATATAGCAAACATGAGGAATATGCAGATTTGTAAAATTTCCCTCACTTCTATTGCTTAGTTTAATCAATTTGTATTAGGATCTGGCTCTCAGACAGCTTTTTGGAGTTGTACTTAATTTATGACTTGACAATGACTATTTTTGTTATAGGTACAAGCCTTTTATTCAACAGAAACTCTTCTTTGACTGCCCAAATACCCTGCAAAAATAACTCGGGGAGTCCAAAACCATCACCGAAGCAAAATCCATGTTGTTTACGTTTTTAAAAAGACACCTGCAGCTTGCAAATGTGATAATATAAGTGTACCATCTCCCAACAGTTTCCACCCCAATTATTTTGATTTTTTTTTTTTGGAGATGATATCTATTCAGAGTTATCTTGATTGTAATAATTGGTCCAGTGGGAAATCTGTTAGGAGCAGAATGTGAGAGTTAACAGCAAAATGTGTTTACATTCCTAGCCAGATCCCACTGTTTTGGCTGTGCATGGTAGTGTCCTATATCAGGGGTCCCCAACCTCTGGGTCATGGCCTATTAGGAATTGGGGCACGTGAGCACCTAGCTAAACTTGCCTGATGCAGGCTGGCGGGCACTGGTGCATATGTGTGCTGGCCCACTGCTCATGTAAGTCGAGCTGTATGCATGTACGCCAGCCTGCCACTTGCACAGGGGCTGCCAATGCCAGCCCATCACTTTTTAAGTGGAAAACATTTTTCAGTGTCTGGAAAATCTCTGCTGCATGCAATTTCCGTATGACTGGAGCAACAATAATGCCAATGTTTGAGAAAGAGTCCATGATCTAATAGAAATACTGATGATAAATGACCAATTAAATAGGGACCATTCAAAGTTACGATCTCCACCAAAAAGGTAGTTATAACTTGGTTCTGGAGTTCCAATGGCAGCACCTCCCTGCAGTCACATGACATTTTGAATGCTTGGCAACCTTTTTGGCCAGTTTCTGGCAAACAAAAATGCTCATAGGAATGCATTGACTTGCTCAGTGATTGCTGAATGCACATAATGTCCACTGCATTCTCTTTATGACCATGACATTCACTTCATGAATTCCACAAAAGGTTATAAAATCGAGTCAGACACGTGGGTGTCTTGATGTATGACTGCCATGAGTCACAGTGGAAATTCTGGGCTCCATTACAGTAGTATGTTGATGGCTTTCTATAATATGATCATTTCTATGAAATGTGCTTTCTTTAATCTATTTAACCATGTGCACTGAGTGATTTAGATTGGATTTAGATTGCTTTTATTTATAGGCTGCCCTTTTCCCTGAGGGGACTCAGGGCAGCTTACAACCTATAGGGAGGGGATACACGTAATGACATATACAGACAATACACAATTAAAAATAGAAGCAACATTCATTCATCATTCGGGTGGGGACGGATCCCAATCTTTAACCCCAGGCCTGGCGGGATAGCCAGATCTTAAGGGCTGTGCGGAAGGTCTGGAGGGTGGTGAGGGTACGAATCTCCACGGGGAGGTCGTTCCAAAGGGTTGGAGCTACTACTGAAAAGGCTCTCCTCCACGTAGTTGCCAGTCGGCACTGGCTGGCAGATGGAACTCGGAGTGGCTGCTCTTCCGGGTCCCAGCGCACGCATGTGCACTGGCCAGCTGGCTACTCAGTGCTGAAAAGGTTCGCCAACACTGCTAACACTCAAGGTAGTAACAAGATGACAACAATTACATTTAATCGCCCATGTCCAGCCACATTTAAGACATAAGAACAATAAACCCCCATACCTTCGTTGCACGGCTTGCTTACCTGGAAACAATTCTCATTGAACAGTGTTACGTCTTCTGAGTACACATGAAAACAACTATACGTTAACAGGAATAAAAACACTGATCTATAAAGAGGTCAAAAAGGTGATATTCTCTTTTGGTTCCATTTTATTCACAAATGTAACTGAAGATTGCTTTGATAGAGAGAGATGATGGTAAATAACAAAAGCAACATCACTGCTATTAAAATGCAAAGTCAGCCCTTTCGGAAGTGCTCATATTTGTGCACATATCTAAAAACGTGCCGAGCTTCCATTGCGCTGGCAACGGTGCTGCGGTTCTCATTTTGATGAGAGGATTGGAACCTGCAGGTCCTTCCAGTTTCAAATAGGTTTAATAAGCATTTTTCTTTTCGGGAGCTGAAAACATCTCTAGGTTTTATGCCATAAATATATGAAAGAGAGGGAAGAAGGTCTGGTTAATTACATCCGACTCACTTATATATCATTCTAAAATGCATTATCCATACTTTTATAATCCCCCTCTTACACAAACACAAGTGCTTTCTTCCATGTTTGTTCATATAATGCTAAAGTAATATATTTTGCAACTCTTACATTAAAATGCATGCATTAAAGATGTTGCATTTAAAATGCATATATTAGGGGAAGTTGAATTAAAACTGCTTAGAGTAGGGAAATTTGCATGCCAAATTGTGCAACTCAAGAGAAAAGTATTTATCAAAATAGTACATTTTAATTTTAATGTTGAGGAAATTTGGCAGAAAATACTTGTGAATAAGTATATGCAAAACTAAAACCAACCAGATATATTGCATCATTTTGTTCTCTCTACACCATATGCATAGCTGGCTGTTACTAGTCAGTCAATTAACTAATACTTACCTTAAGGTCAGAAACATCCCGGTAGCATTGTTCAGAGCGGGTGTGGTCTGACAATTGGACATTCCAGAAACAGGGAAGCTGATAGACAAGAAAGGGATTCTGTTTGATGACTGCATTGAAGATATCCTAGAAAGATAAATAAACAAACAACATTTTTCACCTTGCAGAAAAGCAATTGCAAATTGCAAACTGTCTTTATAATTATCTTAAGAATGTGGGTAAAACACTGCATATATATATATAGCTCCCCATCTTTTAACTATCTTATTTTATCTTGATTGGGATCTCTAATTTTATTCTTTTAAAGGTATTTTGTATATTAGGATTTTAATGTTTTAATGCTGGAAAGACACCCAGTGGTTTGCTATGAGATGGGCAGCAAATAAATGGGATAGATAAAATAAATAAGAACTAAAAGTCAAGGGTTGGGGTTTTAGCTTTGAAAGAAAGCATTGTCAGTCAGACTGAATTTGTCAATATAACCTGAAACTTTGCTGCTGATTTACATTTGACAGCTGTTGGGGTCTCAGGAAAGACTAACCATAAAACAAAGCAGCCTACTCCTTCCCCTGTCACTGTTGTTAAAATCTGCCCACATACATTATGTCACTATCAAATTTGAATACTGTATCTTCATAATCAAAGATTAAAAAAACATTTTATAGCAACATTTGAAGTGAAAAGCATCTAAGCAAGACTAACCAACAAACCATAACAAATTTAAAAAGTATCTAGACTTAACTGAATTAACAACTTATAAACAAGAGCTTCAGGATATTCAATATTGCCTTTTAAAGGTGTTTTAATTTGGAGCTAAAAGGATAGATCCTAATCCTTACTATATTTCCCTAGTGAGAGCATCCAATGTTGTAGTGTTAAAAAAAACATCCCTTCCTTAATTTTTTTAAATAATATACTTCTTCTAACAGAAGGGTGTAGATAAGGGCCTTTCTGATTATTAATTCATGGTAGGAATATTATTGCTTTAGATATTGACTTTTCCACATTGTTTGAGTAGTTATATATCAGGGCTGTCAAACTCGCAGCCTATGGGCCAGATGCAGGGGTGAAATCAAGCAGATTCTGACACGTTCTGGAGAACCGGTAGTGGAAATTTTGAGTAGTTCGGTAAATACCACCTCTAACTGGCCCCACCTGCATCTATTCTCTGTCTCCCGAGTCCCAGCTGATCGGGAAGAAATGGAGATTTTGCAATATTCTTTTCCTGGATTAGGGTGGGAATGGAGATTTTACAGTATACTTCCCCTGCTATGCCCACCACGCCATGCCCACAGAAACAGTAGTAAAAAAAATTGAATTTCCCCACTGGCCAAATGCATCACAAGCTGGCCACACCCATGCCTGGTTTAGCAGAGGGGAAAAAAGTCCTGATACATCACGTGGCACTGCCATGATGCCGCAAGTTTGACACCCCTGTTATATACCATCAAATTGGTGCTGACTTATAGCAACCAGATAAATATACCCCAGCATGATCTCCTTCTAGTCTGGCTTCTTCCAATGGTATACCTGTTGCACTGTGAGTCCATCTGTCAGTCATTTGAAGTAGACCAGATTGGAAAACAGACAGCACAAATACTAGGACTTTGTTAATGTAGGCTCTAACCACAGAAAATCTGACAGAGCTTCCCTTTCCCTCCCTTTTACACCAAACATAGTCAAAGCAGGCCAATCTTGAGTTTTCTTTTGGAAAACACGGGCAACGTCTGTATAGCCATCTCTTTCCCGCCAGCATTATAGACTTTTCAAGAGAGCTAGATCTTTGCATAATGTGTCCGAAATACAATAATTTGAGTTTGGTGATTTAGGCTTCAGGTAGACTTTTAATAATGATAACCAACGTGTTGACTTAGTCTTTAAAAAAAAAACCCTGAAACCAATGGTGTTCTTTCAGAATTTTAGTGAAGGAACATAGTGGCCTTATTTTAATACACAATTCAAAATCAAAGTAGTGGAAGTTCTGACTCTGCTGAGGTTTGCTGGCTATCATGAAATGCAGCTTTATGTATAAGGTCTAACAGTAATCTAATATACAATCAGTGGTATTTCTTCAATTCAGAGTGAGAAGAAAAGTGATAAATTTGAAAGAAATAATAAGAGATTTCAGATATTTATCACTTTTTCTTTTGTTGTTGATGGTGGTAGTGATGAATAGGAAGATAAATTCAGGGAACATTGCAGAAAAGCCACACTTTGACTAAAAAGGATAACAAAATAAGCTAAAAAGACATGGAAGGGAGGGGGGAGTAAAAAACAAAACATGGCCAGATGAAACACCTACAGGTAGTTAGATGTGTATCATCCTGGAAATGCAGGGTGTGATTATATATTGTCAAGGCTAATAGTTAATCCAAAATGCTTCAATCACTTCTGCCTTCAGTTCAGAATGGGTATTGATTATAAGATTATATTTTTCTCACTAGACAGTTAAATTGAATTCCATATGTAACCCTCGTATTTAAACCCAGGCTGCCTCACTTGAATTTTTTTAAAAACAAGGATCTAAGTATCTACAGTATTGGAAAAGCACTATCTTTTTGTTGTATACTTTCCCACCAACCTATCATTTAGCGTTATATGTAGAGCACTAGGAAGGAAAGTGTGATTGATCCTAACCCATTATGTTGCAAAAGTAATGAAATAGTGCCTACAATATATCACTGCTTACAGTTTTTTTCCCCTAGAAAGAGAAAAAAAAATAGAATAAGTCATTTTCTTCTCTTGCAACATTGGACAACTCTTGTCCAGTCCTTAGCATTTCCTGTTTAGGAAAGATTTCAGAGATTATGTTGAAATATCATTTTCCGAGACTCTGGATAAAGCAGATTATCTTGAAACTTTTCTGTTAGACTTTTGATCTGGTTGTGTGACAGAAACTGGAAACATTATAGATGATTTTTGAGTGGAAGGAATATTGCTTTCTTGGACTTTCAGACTTGGCAGTTATGAAATTCATTAACTATAGTATCTTCTCAGATTATTTTTCAGGGCTTGGACTGTTGGTCCTGTCACAATGGTTCTAATTATTCTCATTTGGTAGTTCCAGAGGTCAATGATCAGTTCAGAGCGAGGTTTCACCAATATATAGATGGTATACCCACCTGTATATTTTCAGTAGGCCAAGCAGAAAATATAATGCATGCTCTTAACCGGTGTTGGAAGCTGGGGACTGAATGGGATAAAAGTAGCTCAATCTATTTTTATTATGAAGATGAAATTGCGGTCTATTCAAAAATCATCTGGCTCATTGTGAACTTGTTATTTGGCTTTGGGAAGAATTGCAGTTCCACAATCTTTGATTCTGTTTGATTCATTTTTCGCTTGAAAACTTCAAACTGCTGATGGATGTGAGCTCTTATTTTGTCAAGACTCTAAGCACAATATTGGATACTTATGTTTCTAAATATAGTTTTACTATTTTGACCTACAGAGCTTTCGATCCAGGATACTTTTGGAACATCTTCAAGTCATCTATCTTCTTGCTGTGCAATCTTTTAAGGAAAGAATGCTTCAAAAACTTTTTCATTTCAAAATGTTAAACATGTGGGAACAAAAAATAGGATTTCTCCTTGGTTGCCTCAGCTCTTTGGAGAGGCTTGCCCAATCCCAAAGTCTGGATAGCCTCTCCCCCTAACTTTTAGGAAAACTATAAAGAGAATGTGGCTTTTTTAAAAAATCAGGGTAACCTGGTCTACCCAAATATGGAGCGGAGCATACTTTCAATTTTTTAAAACCACCACTGGCAAGGATCTTGTAACTTGACAGCTTTAAGACTTGCATGCTTCAATGCCAGAGTTTCTGAATAGCAAGGTCACTAATTTAGGACAAACACCTAGATA